ATTTGGATGGCAAAAAAAAAGAGGAAAAACTGAATATAGATTATTAAAACAGAGTTCAGTATTTGCTGCTGTTACTAACCGCCTCCTCCACTGCAAAAAAAAATTTCAATTGAATGGGTTGAATACAGCCAACTGGCAAACTGCCAATTTCATTAGAATTTTCCTCTTAAGTCACCAAACAGAACTGATTGCCCGTAGCAGTTGCAGCAGCAACTGGAAAAAAAAAAAATGCCCAGAATCTACAGCTTATCTGTGGCATATTATCGCTGTTCCGGTATGAAACCTCTGGTATTTTTGTTTATTGCAAACCTATAGAGGACTGTTGATAGCTGATAGTTTGTTTTAGAATTTTCATCAATAAATTTCTTTTTTTTCTTCTTTTTTTTTTTTTTTGCAACTTATAGCCTCATTTATTGTTGATATTATTCATAGCTACAATTTCTTTTTTTTGTTCAACTAAACTATTCAGTATAATTCTGTTTTGTTGCTATGTTTTTTTTTCCAATAATGAATTTTTTTTTTTTTTTGGATTCAATAATTTCATAATTTATTTGGAATATGTATTTTGTGTGTGTGTGTTTTTTTTTTAATGATGATGTATTTGTTATATCTTAGATTCGCTGTTAAAGACTTTTTTAAAACTTTCTTTTACTCCTTCAATCACCGTCAATATTTCAAATGGTTAAATTTTTTTCTTTTTTTTTTTTTTGCAGAATTAAATTAAGGGAGGGAAAATTAAAAATTTTATGGCCAATATTTTGTTGTTTTTATACGCGTCGTCAACTCTAAGAGTTTACAAAAATTCTCGACAATTTTTGCATCAAACATCGTCGGAATTTAGCATTACTGAATAGTCTTTGTCCTTCATTCAATTCAGTGTTTAAAGTTTTATTTTGTTACTTATTATTGTTGCGTTCATTTAATTTTTAGGGTCAACTAATTGTGCAGTAAAATTTTTTGATAAAGTTTTTGATATTTACATTAGCGTTAAATGAGCGGCAAAAGAAGAAAATTTGTGGTTCAAAAGGCGTTTCTTTTTTCAACAGTATACTGTGTTCAGTTATTTTCCTCTCATTTTTAACATTTTATAATTTAATTAAATTTTATGAAAAATTTGTTTCTCTATTCTATGTTAGATTCTTATATCTAAAATTTAAAAAAAAAAAACCTTGTATCAGTTTTTTGCTGTCATTCTTTTCTCTTTCTTTTTTTTTTTTTTTTTTTTTTTT